GGATGGATGGATGGATGGATGGATGGATGGATGGATGGATGGATGGACAAATGGAAAGATGCTTGGATGGAGGATGGGTAGATGGAAGGATGGATGGACGAATGGAAAGATCATGCATGGATGGATGATGGGTGGATGGATGGATGGAAAGATGCATAGATGGATTGATGGAGGGATGGAAAGACGCATAGATGAACGACAGAAGGACGGATGGAGAGGGATGGAAAGATGCATAGACGGATTGTTGGATGGATGGATGGATGGATGGATTGATATTAGCTCATCAGTTCTCTCAGGCTTAGACTCTGTTTCTCTAAACTGGTCATTCTAAGAGCTGTCCCCGACAGAACTGTACAACTTTCAAAATGTGTGAACTACTCCTTTAGCTCAGCTTAGTGCATGAGAGCAAACAGCCACCATGACGCTGCCGTCTGATGTCAAGAGCTCGAACTAACCAGGACACGTCTTCACAGACGAGCTTTTCAGCGTCCATGTATTTAGAGCTGGCTGTTTCCACCACACTTCCTGTCTTTATTCTCAGCTCAGTTGCCTGGCTCCTCTCTTGATTATGTTGTGTTTGGCTGTGACACACTTGGGGTTCCCACCCTGTGGGTTCTGTGTAACGGGACATGCTTTTAACTGCTTTCTTGAGCAAACAATAAAAACAAAAAGCAACAATAAAGCTAATAGAGTCTTAACTGAGTAACAGTATAAGACCTCCAACAACATAGGCATAAAACAACCGGAGTACCAGGAGAAAACCCACGCATGCACGGAGAGAACATGCAAACTCCACCCAGAAAGGCCCCAGGCCAGGACTCGATCCGGTGACCTGCTAGCTGAGAGGCAGCAGCTCTACCAGCTGAGCCACCGTGTCACCTGAATAATTAATGTGAAATGCTCAAAGTTGCACATTTTGCACGTCTGTAGTTTGAATCTAGACCTTGAACTTTGTTGTCTTTCTGTCCCATTAATAAATGCCGTTTTCAAAAGAATTATCTACACAATAGAGATATGATTAAATATAATAATCTATGCAATAATCTGAGCTTTCTTTGTTTGCTTCAGCAGGTGAATGTCGCACAGCTTCAGGATGCAGCCGCCTTTATCCTCACTAACTGGCTGTTCACCTGGGAGCATCTGACGCATCAAACATGATGAAGACTGAGCCCCCGTCAGCCACGGGGGGGAATGGGGCCTCCAGTGGAAACAGTGGCAGTTCCAGTCTGCGAAGTCCCTCCCCCCACAGAAACGCCTACGAGGCAGGCCTGGCGGCGCTGAAAAGGGCCACCGACCACCTCAACAACGCCGCTAACGGAGGCGCTGACCCTGCCTCAAAACCCGCTCTCCTGCCCCGCCCGACTGGGAGGGGCCGGAAGTATGGCTCAAACGTTCACCGCATCAAGAACATGTTCATGCAGATGCAGTCTCCAGGTGATGAGGAGGACGGTGCCAAAGTGATAGGTAAGCAACATTTTTAGCTATAATTTTGATGGACACGTTGAGATTAAGGGCAGATTACGTCTGTCAATCAGAGCGACGTGAAAACAAACATACCATGAACATTTAGACAAAATTAGATTTTTTTTTATCAGTTTTGCTAACTTGTGCATTTGATAAGAACGTACCGTGGTTGAGACTTTACTCTGTTACCTGACTTGAACATTTGATTTTGATTTATAAAACAACAACTCTTGAACCCACAGTGTGATAAAAGTGAAATAAACAGATAGTGTCTGACAGATTTGAGTCTAGTTCCTTGTCTTGGTTTGGGAAGCTGAAATTGACAACACATCGGCTGCGGTGACTGCAGTCTGGATGCTGCAAACTTGGTTTTATCTTCTTGTGATCCACAGACGAACCAAAATACAGAACAGTGTCTGCAACAATAAATTTGTAATATAGAGCAAGTTATTGCTAATAACAGCTGTGAGTGTTTTCTGTGCCTACTCTACAGAGTGCCACTCTGGGCGGATGATCATAGTAACTAATGGACTAATGGACAATGGACTCCTTTGAGTTTAGTATTTTTACACTGATGTTGATGCTACAAGTAGCAGTCGTGTTCTCGTCTTGTTAGCATAGATTGCGTTGGAGCTGGCCTTTCAAGTCTTTTTCCAGTTCAGTTTGTTTAAGGATTAAACAAGTCCCTGAAAGTTAGATTTTATATAACTGAACTGAGATTTAGATATATGTAACATATTTTAAAATTTGCTTTATTTTTAGATTTTACCACAGAACATTTAACTTAGTGTAACGTCTCACTAACCTCTGAGCTGTTTCAACAAGAGCCCGACCGATATGGAAATTTTGGCCGATACCGATATTGGGAGGGGAGGGCGGCCGCCAATAACTGATATAATGGCTGAGAATATTTTATCTTTGTCCACCCCTAATATTCTAAGAAAACAGCGAGTGGAGCGGAGCTTGTTTATTTAGCGCAGCTGTTAGCAACCATGAAGCTAAGCTAATCAGATCCACTCTATACGTAGTCCCACAGCAGGTTTACAAGTGGTGCACTGGTCATAAAAACAGTCTTCTTAGCGTGTGTTCACATTTTCTATTCTCCACTATTCACCATAAAGTTATCAAGTGTGTTACATAAATATAAATTAAACAAAGAAACACCCTTCCCTGTTCATTGTTTAAACAGTCACTCATGTTTAGTGAAGGATTAGTACTTAATGATTATTTTTAATATTTTTTTAGCAGAGAAGTAAATATTTTAGACAAACAATGCATTTCACTGAGGACGACAAAGATAACGTTACTAACACTGATATATATATATTTTCCGCTACATTAGATTTATTGTTTTGGATAAAGTTTTACAAAACAATAGCCTATGCTAGTTTATCTAAACGTTAGCTTGCTAGCATGAGAGTCACGTAGCATGACAAGCGGGCTGGAGGATTGAAGATAATTTATTATTATTGATTTGTTTTACAAACCAGTTAAAATAAACTTACTATGCTCTGTTCAGCAAAATACTCTACACAGTATTGCTCCCTGCTTCATCTGTGCTGAAAGTGAAACTTAAGTGAACAGCCATGACTTGAAAGTAGTGTTCTTGCGCCCTCTGCTGGATACATTGTACAATTACAGCTGGTTCCAGCATTTTAGGGGTGTAAATTAGAAGTGTTTATATCAGAGCATAATGGGACAATTATCACAGACGATGGGTCCCCAAACATCTATATCGGCCTAAATTATGGTCCCTACCGATATATCAGTCGGGCTCTAGTTTAAATCTGCCAAAATTGTTAGCAAACAAACTATACCTGCTTGCACAATTTTTATAATTCCCATAGTTCATGCATTGAATTGTTGATGTATTTGTTTTCTTTTACTAACCGTGTCTTTCACTGCAACAGGAATTGTGTTATTTTCTTCTCAAGAATCTACGTAGCCCCTATTTCGCACATCCAAACTTGGACTGACTTCCACTGTATCTTAATTTTTCTTAAAAACTGTAAAAGAATCAGCCGTTTGAACTTGTCATGTCTTCTACAGGAAACCCCGTAAGTGGTAAATGGACTGTACTTGTAAGCTCTTTACAACAATCTGTGCCTCATTTACTCATTCATACAGCACTCTACTAGATTTATACAAAGAATGATCAGAGCTTTATCACATTCATACACCGATGGGACACACATCAGAGGCAATGAGGGGTTCAGTGTCTTGCCCAGGGACAATTTAGCATGTGACTGCTGGTGGAATCGAACCCCCAACTCTCCCATTGGAGGACGACTGCTCTAACCACTCAGCCACAGCTCCCCAGTGGGCTCAACTATATTGACTTGTGTGCCAACTAGATGTATTTGCTATTTACAGACCAGAAATGTCTTTCAACACAACTTACAGGTAAAAGTTTAGGAAGTAGCTGCATTGTCTAAGTTCTCTAGTTATTATTATTCTTTTCCATTTACAGGTGAGGAGACTCAACTAAAACTGTCTATTCCAAGGGCCTCTAGCCTGAATGAGAACGTGAACCACAGCGCCCTGCTGAAACCTGGAGGTACGGTCTCAGAAAGGGTGAACCGTTTTGACTCTAAATCCACTGGAACAGATGGAGTCTCGTCTATTGGTCTCTCTAAGCTCCAGGAGACCAGGAGGATCTTTGAACAACGAACTCTACAGGTGCGTCATCATTCTTATGTGTAGTTTTTTTATGACGTCCAATCAGCCTAAATTTATAGATTATTTCTTTTTGTCAGGAGAAGCAAGCCGCTACGAACCGCATCTTGTTGAAAAAGGAACGGGCGTCAGGTTTCCAGGACAGCCGTCTGGACGTTGTGGCTCGCTTCAACGGGTCTACTGAAGCCCTGGATCGACTGGATGATCCCCCGGCTCCCATTCCTGCTGCTGTTCCCTCAGCTACCGCTTCAGTTGGCTCCAAAGACGCTGTCAGCCCTACTGTGAGCCAACTGAGTGCTGCGTTTGAGAAGTGTGACCTTCAGAACAATCTCCATGTCCCAAATCATCGGTCTGCCCCTGCCTTGGCACCAAAACCCAAGATTCCCGCCAGAGGCAATAAACCAGAGCGGAAGGTAAGAAATGAAGCTTCATTTAGGACAAGTATAGAAATCCAAACATGTGAATTCAATAAATGACATTAGACCTGTTGCGATAAACAATAAATCAATTAATCACATGATAAATGAAAATTATCTACCTTATTTTCATTTATTGGCTTTATCGTTTCTTCATGTCTCTCTCTTTCTTCTGAAGACACTGGATGATAAAAGACTCAACTCCGGTGCTCTTCACTGACTCCTCCATTTCTCTTTTATCTTTAAAATCTGTTTTAACAATCCAAAATCACGTTTTTGGATTGTTAAAAGCAGCTAAGCTGAGAAGCTAAGCTACGAGCTAAGCTAACAGGCCGACCTCAGGGAAAAAAAACTCAGTTTTGTCGAAGCTCCAAAATTCTCGGTTGAAACCCGTGCCTTCGTCTAAGAAGTAGTTTTTTTCTGAAAAAAGAAACTGAGAATTATTTTACTGATTTTTTTATTAAAAGCTTTGTGTGACAAATGCTATGCTAAAGAGCTCAAACCACATCGAGCATCCGCCATTTTGAGAACTGAAAAACAGGAAGGAGAGACAGCCCATGTCACGTCAAGGGGCCTCCCTCCCATTTTCTTCAAGAGACACGCTGCACGCTCCCTCACTATCCATCCTTAGGTTCAGACAGTTTCATACTTCCATCCATTGGTCACAAAAGGTACTACACACAAAAATTAACAAACATTTCTTCTTAAATTTGCCATTACTAATTATTGTAAAATTTCAAACGATATTATCGTTTATCGCAATAATTTCTGAGACAATTAATTGCCCAGAAAAATTTGTTATCGTGACAGGTCTAATGACAGTATGGTCTTTCTATATTTCCAAGGTGCCCTCTCTTGGTCAGGAGACCAAGGCAGAAGTAAACGCAGGAGTTACAAGCACCCAGGCAGCAGAGCGTCAAAGGAGTACAGAAGTTCTGGTCACAGTAGAAAAACCCGATGGGTTTGGACAGTCAAGTGACCAGCTCTCCAACTCGCTACCATCCTCGGTAACTGGTGCTTCCTCCCTGTCTGAGGAGTCCGGTGTCCAGCCAGCAGTGACTGAAGACCAAGGGTCAGCTACGGCTGCGGCCCTTGAGGCGGAGCTTCCTTCCAGAGAGCAGGACGTCTCAGCTGGTGCCTCTGAGACCGAAGGGACGTTAGTGGAGGCTGAGGTCCATACCACTCTGGAAACAGGAGCGAACGAGCCAACTTCCTTTGAATGGAGAGGCGATGAAGAGGAGGACAATGATGAGGATGGCTCGAGGAAGGAGGATTACTCAGAGGGAGATCTGGTAGATGTCAGCGCGTACAGTGGGCCTGGAGAAGAGGAGGACTCTGGGGGAAGTCAGCTAGATGATGAGGATGATGAAGAAGACGAGGAGCCATACCAACCGGAGAGTAGTTGCTCTGAAATCCCCGGCCTCCCTGATGAAGAGGAGCCAGTACCACCCAGCAGGAAGATCGGCTTCAGCACAGAGCCCATCAAAGTAAGGGTTCTCAGCTCTTTATACATTTTGTGTCTTACATACAGTCATACAGATATTATTAAATGTGTCTTAAAAGTTGTTATTTGTGACACGTGATAACTCCTAATTAAGAAATTCTATGTTTATTGTATTTTTCAACTAAGTGCATAGTCATTATTTTACTGGCGCAATGCATTCTGGGGCGATGATGTATATCGGCTGTCAAGGCTAAACAGATACAACATTAAAGTTATATTTTGTGTTAGTCTTTATGCACAGAGTCAAACAATCAGATGTGATCAACTAGTCAGAGATTCTTTTACAGGGTTGCACAGGACATTAAATGAACTCCGAGGTTCTGGTGTGAACTCAGTGGGTTCTGCTACTAACATCAAATGTTGCCTGGATAGGAACCTTGACCTTTGGTTTGGTCCTAACAAAGAACCACACACACGCATACACCATTTCCTGCTCACTGAAAAACTGTGTGTGTGTGTGTGTGTGTCCTGATGGACATCAGTTAAACGCCTGAAGACTCTTGTTTAAATAAGCTGCGGTGCCAACATTTTTACATTTTTCCTGTTACAGAAGCTCTTTTTTTTTCCTTTATGGAGCAATGGAGGAGTTGCCACATTAACTGCATACAGCTGCATCTCAACCAACTTGTCCTGTAAAACCCAAGATGTCCTGATTTTTAAAAAGTATTAACCCTTTATTTATACAGGTTAGTCTAATTGAGTTACTAGGACTCATTTTCAAGAGAGACCTGTTTTGACAAACAACATATAGAGAGGAAAGAGCACAATACAACAATAAAAAGATATTCAAATAAAAAGTGTTATAAAAACACTGTTACTGTTAGCAGCATGATCCTGTTAGCAGCATGTTTCTGTTAGCGTGGTCCTGTTGGCAGCATGTTTCTGTTAGCAGCATGTTTCTGTTATCAGCATGGTCCTGTTAGCAGCATGGTCCTGTTAGCAGCATGATCCTGTTAGCAGCATGTTTCTGTTAGCATGGTCCTGTTGGCAGCATGTTTCTGTTAGCAGCATGTTTCTGTTATCAGCATGGTCCTGTTAGCAGCATGGTCCTGTTAGCAGCATGTTTCTGTTAGCAGCAT